TGTCAGGTACAAACGCTAACAACCACATTCCCTTGAGTTTTAAGAAACAAGTTTATGCCCTGGCTAGTGGGGCTCAGTGGATTGAGTGCCAGCCTGCAAACCAAAAGGTTGCCAGTTGATTCCCAGTCAGGGCACATGCCTGGGTTGCTTGCCAGGTCCTCAGTTGGGGGCATGTGAGAGGCAAGGGACTGATATATCTCTTGCACTTCAATATTTTTCTCCCTTTCTCCCTCCCTTCTGCTATCTCTAAAAATAAATAAGTGAAATCATTTTTAAGAAAATAAACACGTTTATACAGGGGAAAGATGGGAATTTGGGGGGGGGGGATTTCTAAGGGAAGTATAGATGTGCTGTTTCTCTTGAGAATAAGGGGAAGGGGAGCTAAAAGGAGATTTGTACAACCTCTTCCCAAGTTCACTCCCTTTGTTCTGGTGCTATCTGTCCATTTGCATTAGCATTCCTCTCTTCCCTGGACACCTGTGGTTTATGTCCAGGGAGGCTATGTATTCTCTGGTTAAGGAGGAGAGGTATAAACCATTTGCTCTCAAGTGCCCTTGATTAGGGGAGATAAGGTCTTGTGATTTACCAGGTGGCTGTAAGTTGCTCAAATTGTTTGGCCTTGTTTCATTTTCTTGTCTCAGTTTCCTTATTCCACTTGCCCAGGAATTTCCCTGGCTTCTTACTATGCTCTCTCACACCTATTTGCTAGCTAACCAAATTGGGTGAAGATCTTAAGTAAGATAAATTGATCATGCTGGATCTGTTCACTCTCTTAACTGACAAATTTTTTCTACAGTGTTTTCCTGCCATTTTCAGAGTAAAGAAATAACTGTATGCTGCCATACTGTTTTATTACCCACATAAAATGCAAACCTTTGTCAAGATTTATATGTTTAGAGGATTATCATAAATCACAATTAACAATAGCTTATGACATAAAATTCATCTATTTTACCTGTTGTTAATCACCTTATCTAAAATAGAAACCCTCTAGGGCTTAACACATCTTTGTTTTTCTTTATAGTATCTATCACTGCCAAGTATTTTGTCTCCAACAAAAAGTAAGCACCTAAGGGCAAGGACCTTGTTTTGTCAAGACAATGGTATTACATGTGTTTTAGTCATTCCTTTACAATAGTTTCCCTTTACCCTCTGAAAATATATTGCAACACCTCCAGTGTATGCCTGACAATACTGAACATTATAATACATAATGTTTTTTCCTATACATACATAGGAATGATAAGTTCTACTTATAAATTAGGTAAGAGATTAACAACAATAATTAGTAAAATAGAATAATTATAACAATACAGTGTAGTAAAAGTTATGTGAATATGGTCTCCCTCTTTCTCTCAAAATATCTGATGAGCAATCTGAAAGCCAGCACAGCATGAATATCACTGGGTTATTATCCAAAAGACCCTAATGTTTCTCAAAACCTAAGCTGTCATGAACTGGGCTTGCTTAGAGAAATTGGCAAGAATTCCTGAGAACAAAGACCAAAGTGCCAAATGCAAAAACCAAGGTGGTGATGAAGCATTGAGTGCAAAAAAGACCATGTGCAAAAGCATTGAGTGCAACAGAATATGCATGCCTAAAATAATTTAATCACTTCACACCACAGCCTATAAATGTAAAGGGCTCTTTCCCAGTCAGGAACAAGGTGCTGTTAGAAAATGAGTTCATTCTTTGATCAAGGAATAGAGTTTCTGCTCTGCTTTACTGAACTGTTTTGTTCAATTGACAAAAGCGGCACTGGGAAGAAGGACCTTGGTTTGGATCCTTGAGTAGGATGGGTTGGTAACAAGATACAACGGATATGCTGGATTAAAGGGATTATTCATATCTTGGACAAGACAGAGCGGAACTATGCAAGATTTCTTCACACTACTCAGAATGGTGTGGGATTTGAAACCTACTAATTATCTCTAGAATTCTCTATTTAATATTTTCAGACTCAAGGTTGACCACAAGTAAATGAAACTGTGGAAAATGAAACTGTGGATAAGTGGGGGACTCCTCTATATTCCTAGGACAGTGCTTGGTATACAGTGAGCCTTGTTACAGGTGCAAGGTTCATGTGCCTGATGCTTCAAAAAAAAGGACAATATTCAATACATCAGAGTTTGTGAGACAGGCTAGTAAGTCAGGACAAGCAAAATAGGAAAACTGAGGCAGATACTTAAATAACCAGTTTGCAGCCATATAGTAAATCTAGATGCCAAGCAATTTGCAGCTATCTATCTTCAGTACACCAAGAACACTTAAGAGTAAATGATTTGTACTTCTCCCCAACCAGAGGGTAAATAGGTTAAATCACGCTGCTCAGGAACAGCAAAAATCCACTTAGTGCCATTTGCCAACTATACCCAAGGACAAATTAAGGGAATAAATCTCATTTTGGCACATCTACTGAGATCCTCTCTTAAAACTTCCCCTAGAAAAACTTCCAGCCTTTAAAAACTCTGAAAATGAAGGTCCCCACCACATGTACCATCCTTCCAGTAGCATTCCTACGCCTTTCCCCCCATCCTCTTCTTTCCCCACAAACACGAATCTCCTTTTAAGAGATCCCACAAGGCTTGCAACCAGGGAGCAATGGGCAGCAGCAGCTCATCCCAGGCTAACCCTCTGAACCTGTCCCCAAGACCCCCTTTTCTCTGACTGATCCAAAACAGTCCAGCCTAAACTCATTTTCTTTTTTAAGAGTTTATTTATTTTTAGAGAGAGAGGAAGGGAGAAAGAGAGGGAAACATCACTGTGTGGTGCCCCTTGAGTGCCCTCTACTGGGGACCTGGCCCACAACCCAGACATGTGCCCTGACTGGGAATCAAACCAGTGACCCTTTGGTTTGCAGGCCGGTGCTCAATCCACTGAGCCACACACAGTAGGACCTAAGCTCATTTTCTCACCTAGTATCCTAGGCCCTTCTTTGTTTCTCTGTCCCTGCTTCAATAAATGTCCAAATCATCTGGACTCATGTTGTAAAGTCTTTCCTGCATGAAATCAAGAACCCACATACCAGCCCACATACCAGCCCTAGGCAGAACCACTCAGGGCCAAGTCCCCTTATTGGTAACATTTGGAGTAAGAAAATATTTATTGATCAAGAAGGCCTAGTCATAGAAGATGAGAGTGTCTTATAGCCCCCACAAATCCATCTTAAGATAGCAAGATTCTGGCATCTCTTATTGCCAAAGGAAGGGAGGAGGTAAGGCAAGAGGTTGGTCTAGGCAGTAGACAGTTAGGCAGCTAGGTGTCAAAATGGATCCAAAGAAGAGCACAAAGTTTCTAAATCCAAATCCCTTTGCTCCTGGCGTAAGCAATGGAGGTGCAAGTGTCCAGTAGGCCAGTTCCCTGCTAACACCATGCTCCAGCTGTCACTGCTGAAGACATCTCAGAATCACCCCATGTTGATGGGCCTTAAAAATAGGGAGGGGGTGTGGACTGGGATGGGAGTAAAAGACAGAAAACTGTACTGGAACAACAATTAAAAAAATAAATAAGATAAAACAGGGAGGTGTACAATGGGCATCTGGTAAACTGTGACAACTAGATGAACATCAATGTGCATGAGGTGATGTGCACATTCAGGGACAGGGACAATTTGGTGGATGCCCAAGGACTACATCGGTGGCAGCGCCAAGTGCCTGCACAATCCAGAGGAGATCATCAACACGGTCAAGGAAGAAGTACTGGCCAAGTCACTGCCCACAGTGGCTTGCTGCAGCAGAAGCAGCAGAAAGGCAGAGGTATCTGGAGTGCTGGCTGAGTGAGGAGGAGCGTCTGGAGGTCAGGGCCAAAGCTGGATTCCAGGCACAGGCAGAGGTCAGCCAGAAAAGAAGCCCAGCAGGCAGGCGGTGCACACATCGAGCAGGTCCTCTGTCCCCTAGAGACTTGAGTTCCAATCCACGAAATCTGTTCAGAAAAGAAATAACAGGCAAGTGTTGCGGGGATGCCCAGCCATGCATTTTGTGAATATCCTCTTCATGTAAAGTCCTTTTTTTTTCAGACAGCAATTCTACAATTGGAAATGTTATTTGGTGAGTTTTTATTTTGTGAAGTCGAAGCCAACTTTTTTTCCTGGAAGGTTCTCTGTGTTAATGTATTTTTAGAGCCCTAGCCCTTGCACTACTGAGGTCATTCTCCAAACAGGTTTGTTTTGTATCTCTTGTTGGATCCCTGGATAGCAAACAGGTTTCGATTTTAAGTTCTCTGCCCTGAGATTCATAGTCCAGGCATTTCCTGAAACACATCTCTGAAATTACATTTTCAAAACAAATCCAGACAGACGTGTTGCCACAAAAGCTGTTGTAGGGACATGGCTGTGCCCTGCTCCTTTGCCTCTTCTCCTTCATGTTACAAAAATTAAAACAAAACACACACACACAAAAATCCCCTTTGTTCCTTGTCAGTCAATTGACTCCACATGACCTGGGTCAGGTTCTGGAGACTCCTCTAAATCGTTCAAAAACATTCATGACTTTGTGTAAATTTCCGTACCTCTAAATTGACAAAGGGCTGCTCAAGCCTCAAGCAGAATTCCTCTAGTTATATTAGCATTATTGTAGCAGCTATTAGCCTGAAGGCCATCAGAGAAAGTAAGCATTTCACTGTTACAGCCTCAGTAAATATTTAATGAGTTAAGAGTTAAGGAAAACAAAAATAACCTCTTCGAAGAGCACAGAAATGACTTCTCATTTTATAGATCAGGGCGATAGAATAATTTTTAATTCTCACACCACTGTCTTTCAAGTTTTGAGTAATTTTTGTAACTGTTGCAATTGAAACTGTTAAGACATAAACAAAGAGCTCTACTACAAACTGCGAGAATAGCCTAAGTACCCCCCGCCGCCCGCCCCCCGCCCGCACCCAAACTAAGCTCTCAGCAATCTTCGCGCCCAGCCCGGAACCCCTCCTTCCTCCAGTGCCCATCCTCTGTCAGAAATCTGCTCGTGATTGGCTGCTCGTTGTGTAGGCCGCTTCTCCGGATATTGCGTCAGGCAGCCAGCCGGTGAACTGTGCGTTTGCAGACCGTGGGAGGCGGGAGGGCGGCCTAGGTGTGCGCGTCTGCGTTTTGCTGTCCCGGAAGGAGAACTGCGCGGTTGAGGGGACTGGGGATCGAGGTACCGCTTTTCCGACCCGACAGGCACGGGAGATCGCCCTGTTCTCAGTCAGGCCCTCGGGAGCCCGCTGGGTGCGATTGGGGAGGGCTGGAGACAGCAGCGCTGCTGGGTGCGTCACAGCCTGGTGGCGCGTTAGGATCGTCCTGCCGGTGACCCTGTGAATGGGGGCAGCGGCTGCGGGGCCTGGTGGGTAGGCAAGCAGGGGCTAGCCCCTCGCTGCCGTTTTCTCCCTGGACTGCGAGGTGCTGAATCATCCCCGCCGCTGGGCCGGGAGATAAGGGGGTACCTGAGGCGGGGATGTTGTAGGGTGTGCGTTGACTTTGGGAGGCTGGAGGCTTGTCGCCGGTTTCTCTAGAGAGTCTAGTGAGCTGGGTCAACTTCCTTGAGGACCAGGCGCCTGAGCTTGCTATTGCTCACAGAAGCATACAGAGTATTTATCTATTTTATATCTGGGGAACCTGAGTCTCAGAGGTCAAACACATTTGCAGCAGAAGCAAGATTTCCACCCTGTTCTGTTAGGCGTCACGGAAGCCACTCCGAGCTGGGCTTGTTCCCAGTCCGTGTGTTGAGGACTAAGAGGATGCACCGCAGTTATAGGCGGAAATGATGCAATAGCATGAAAGTCCTAGAAGAACTTGGTATTTTTCCCAAAGGACGGATGCCCGGTGTTGTACCTGGTGTACATAGATCCTGGGGCAGAGCTGGAAGTGCATTGAGATAGTTATTTTTAAGCAAGGACTCTTAGCTTTGGGGTGCTAACTAAAATATATATTCCTTCGTCCCCTTCCTAGAGATTGAATCATTAGGATCAGAGTTAGACTCCGGAATCTACGTTTTAAAATGCATCCCAAGTGGTTTCAATAGCTTGGTATATTTTATATCAAAGTTTGAAGAGAAGTAATTTTTGTCGTGTTTGCCAGAAATTTGTTTGGTTTTCACTGATGTCTTTTAACTTTGTAGTGCACTATGACCTTGAAGAGTTAGTCATCTCTTCCTTGGACGACCTTTTTACTCAGCCCGAAAGTTATACTACGGAGGTTTTTTGTGTGTTTTTTTTAATTGATTTCATTGCGGTGTCATTGGTTAATAAAATTATATAGGTTTCAGGTGTACAGTTCTATGATACATCACACCTATGTTGTGTTGTATGTTCATCACCCCAAGTCAAGTCTCCATCAAATCTCCTTTTAAATGTTCTCATTGAGTGTTGGTATAATTCTTAAGTCAAAACCACATTTATAAAAGCAGTTACACACCATGTAAATTCCCTGAAGACATTCACTCTGTGCTAGCCACATAACCTACATAGTTGTATGTTTTGTTACTGTGTAAACTGGGATTCAAACCTAATTTGGTGATTCATCTCCAACTGGGTTTTGTGGGATGGATTTCTTGAATTTAACAAGAGACATGCAGAAGGTTTATCATTAACATTTTAAAAGGTCACTTTATTCCATCTTTTCTGCTGCGGGATGATTGGCTCCTTCTTATCTCTGGACCCCTCATGTCATTTCCTCAGTTCATTCATGGGTTATTTTTTTGTTTTTGTGTCCAACTAGCATTTTAGATCGGCTTTGGTAAACCTGGTTCACCACCATGCTGGCCGCAAGACTTGTGTGTCTCCAGGTTCTACCTTCCCAGATTTTCCACCCAGCTTTCACCAAGGCCTCCCCAATTGTGAGGAATTCCATCAGGAAGAATCAATGGCTTTTAACACCCAGCAGGGTAAAAATAATCTGAATGTTTTTATATTGTTGTCTCTCTCTTTGTGCCCCTAGGACCATTGGGGGGGGGGGGGGTCAAATATATATATACTGTGAAGTTTCTTACTCTACCATTAGTCATTTACTGGAACACTTAGCCCTAATATTGATCTAAAATAGCTTTCTCTCCACCAGTTTGGTATCATTCTGTTCCATCTTTATCTCATGTGAAAGAGAAAAGGAACTATAATTTTTCCTGTCTTTACAGCTCTTACAATTTCTCATTTAGAGTAGTTTGTGAGGGATTGAGAGCTATGGTATAGATAGATTCATGGAGCCTATAATCAAAAGCTTAAGAACCTAGGATTATTACCAGCTGGCCAATAGACATTGCTAAATGTTATTGCACATCTAGTTTAGGAAATGGTGAAATCTATCAGGTAAGAGAGAAGTCCATTTCCTTTGATAATAGATCTCTCTTCTAACATTCAAAGCAGAAATACAAATTTTGAAATGTGAGGTGGATAAGGAAATATACAAAATATAGGAAGGCCAGGGTTTTTCCTCATAACTGTTTCACTGTTGAAAAGGAGCTAAAATATAGGTAGTAGTCATTCTTTCCTTTAGCTTTGTGTAAAAGAAAGAACCTTTACTGAGCCTGTTTCCCAGATGAAAAATGGTGTAGCTAATATTGAATGCATGTTTTTAAATAGTGTTTAAATGTAATAGATAAAATAAAATCTGTAGTTTGTGAAATAAACAAGCCTGAAACTTAAAAACTAAGAAGTTGTAATGAATTAGTCACCTTGAAGATCAAGCACAAATGGGGTCTCCATATAGGGGTTTTTATGTTTGTTTGTTTAAGATTTTATTTATTTTTAGAGAGGAGTAGGGAGAGAGGAAGAGAGGGAGAAAAATATCAGTGTGTAGTTGTCTGTCGTGTTCCCCCTACTGGGGACCTGGACCACAACCCAGGCATGTGCCTCAACTGGGAATCAAACCGGTGACCCTTTGGTTCACAGCTCGCGCTCAATTCACTGAGCCACACCAGCCAGGGCTCCATATAGTTTTTTAGATTGGTTAACATACTTTCATTGTAGAATTATATGTGTATAAAGTATCATATTACTTTATGTAGTTTTCTAGTGTAACAAAAGCCTATTTTCACTTTGTTGTTAACATTCTGTTTTATTATGGATGGTGTATGTCTGTGTTTTCATGTATATCAGGAATATGCCAGCAAGACAAGAATTGGGGTCCGACGTAGTAGAACTGGCCAAGAACTCAAGGAAGCAGCAATGGAACCATCAATGGAAAAAATATTTAAAAGTAGGTGTCAGTTTTTAGTTTTCAAATGAAGTCTATAAACATCTTCCTAAAAATATGTGCAAATATCTGTATATGTGCATTTTCTGGGGAGAAGGGCAATTATTTTCATCATTGTCAGGAATCTGATGACCCAGGAAAAAAATGATACTTAACACTAGATTTAGTGGTTCCCAGTCACAATTCTTCCAGAGAAAAATGTTACTTTCACCATTATATATGTATAGTCTGTTAAGGAAGTTAATTTGAAGGTGCATAGACTCGTTATTCAAGCATATATTTCAGGTCAAGAATAAATTGTCAAAACACCTATGTTAATGAAAACCTAGCTGTTCAGAAAGAATCCTCTTAACTAGCTGCCCCACTAAGGCCTCTCAGGAAGCAGACCCATTTGTTTCACAGTTTGGATTTCAGCTTTGCAAGTTTGGAAGCTAGATTGTTAATCTACCCAAAGCCAGGCAAAGAACACTACTGCTCCTTCATCTTGCAAAATGTTAATATATTACAGTGGGACAGATCCCTAATTGGTATCCCCCAAGGTGTTTATGACCACTAAGGTGGCTTTAGAAACCAAGTTATATGAATCCTATGGCTACAGAATAGTAACATTCCTAATGAACACATTTAGTCTAAAGGGAGTAAGATGATCTTTATGAATACTACCTTCATCTAGTTAGACTTGATAAGTTAATTGTTTCTCAGTACTAAGATAAAAGCACCCTCTCCCTTAATTGAGCTGCTTAAACACTGATTCCATTTTTCTTTGATTCTTTGTTTGTTTATTTATTTATTTATTTATTTATGTTTGGTTCCATATAAAACACCATCTTTGCTAATTGCACTTCAGACAATTGTCATATAACATTTAACATTTCTTTCTCATCTTTACTTTCTAAGTGTCATGAGAATACATCCCAGACTCTTATTGGTAAAATAACATATCACAGTCTCCCCACATCAACAGATATACCACTCTCAGTTTTGTCAGAGTGAGATTAAAGGTTAATCAAGGGTGATTATTTTTCTACTAATTATACCTGTGTTTCAGCAATGTTTTTTTTACTGGTCCCCTAATTTTCAGGCCATTTGTATATCCCCATACATACTAATTATGGCTATTACAAAGAAGTATGGTATATAGTTTGACTTCCCTCACTTAAATATTGGGAAGGGCTTACCACCACAGCATTTTAATTTAGTCAAAACATGGCAGTGTTAACCTGCATTCCTCCTGTATTCTACAGTTGATCAGATGGGAAGATGGTTTATTGCTGGAGGGGCTGCTGTTGGTCTTGGAGCATTGTGCTACTATGGCTTGGGAATGTCAAATGAGATTGGAGCAATCGAAAAGGCTGTGTAAGTAAATGGTTCCCTAACAGTTCTAACCTTAAATGTCAGGATTCTGGTCCAGTCAGTCTCCCACGATGCAAAAGAAAGACTGTCCAGGCACAATGCAAACTCTTTTTACCTGGAGAGAGAAAGGGAGAGCAACTCTCTGTAAAGAGAGAGTGCTCCTGACCAGTCTTCCCATAGGGCTTTTATTTGCTTTTTCCCCCATGCGCCTTGTGATTCTTATTCATCATAAATCATCCCCTAAGCTTGGGAAAGCTGTTTTCAGTACAAAAGCATATGTAGTTTGTGAAAACAGAGAACAATAAGTGTCAGTTGACAGATAAATCTTTGCACAACTTTCTTATAGGAAAAGACAGTGTCCTTTAGAACTAACAAAGTGATATATAACTACTAAGCAGGACGTGAGTTAAACATAAACTATATATGTAAAGCTCAGCCTGGCTCCAAAGCTAAATGCTTCAATAAGCAGAATACAATTGCCTAAGTTGATTAATAGGTTTGTTTGCCTCATACAAGGGTCCATGTTTTGGACGCCTTTCCCTGGGAATGTACTGCCACTTCCCTCCAGCCCCATTCAGCTTCTGGCGCTGCGCCTCCGCTCGGGCCATGCTGCCTGAGGGTCATAGCTGCAAGAACCAGAGGTGATGGTCCCCAACATTAAAGGCTCCAATTTTCTTCTCATCCTTATCTTTTGCCACTTTTGGAATGTTGAATGTCTAGTCTTCCAACTGTATGGAATATACATGAATAAAGATAGAATCTTTTGTTTTGACATACAGTTAATCAAATTTAAATAATCGTTTTTTAAGTATATGTATTTAAGTAGGGAGAAAATATGTTGCTTTGTACATGAGCCAAGTGCTTATATGTCTTCTATCTTTTACTGTTTATGATAACTTCAATGTATGCATCATTTCCTTGATAAATGAGGTGAATAAGATTTAGAGCAGTAAGGGGATGTTTCCCAAGGCCTCCCAGCTAATCTGAGTCAACAAAAATTTACATCCAGAATCTTATAAATTAACCATATTGTGTTTTCTTTACAGAATCTGGCCCCAGTATGTCAAGGATAGAATTCATTCCACCTATATGTACTTGGCAGGAAGTATTGGTTTAACAGCTTTGTCTGCCCTGGCAGTGAGCAGAACTCCTGTTCTCATGAACTTCATGATGAGAGGCTCTTGGGTGGTAAGTCATCTTGTTTTTGTTGACCTTTTCCACTGCATAGCAAAAGTTTAAACAGAATAAATATTGAGGGCTAGGTGTTAAATGGAAAGAATATCTTACTAAATTGAACAGTTTTTTGTTCAAATAATAAATGAATTATTACTGTAGCTGAGACAAAGTAGGAAGTACATCGTGAGGTGCATCAGCTATTATTCTTTGTTGAATGTGTATTCTATAGCACCAAAGGGTTGGAGACCAAATTTACAAGAATGTGCTATTTATCTAGCTGCAGATATCAAACAGCCTCTATATGATATATTTTACAGCTATTTACTAAAAATAAGGCAGACCCCAAACCAAAGCATTCTGTACTGTTACGAGTAGAATAGTACAGTGCTGTAACTATTCTGAATTTTCTAGACCCTATGTGAGGTATTGAATGAGTGTTTCTTGTGCATTTGTCATTTTACAAGATTTCAAAACTGATTACAAATGGTGGTGCCTATTTCTTTACTTTTTGGTTGAAGAGATGAACTAGAGTAAGTGGTAAAGGATGTACAATAATAAGTAGGAAGTTTAAAATCAGTTGAAAGACTGTTTTTGTCTTGGACTAATAGAGGGTTCCTTGAAGGACAATTTTATCTCATCAGGGCCATAGAGGCCTAGCACTTTTTATTTCAGGAGAGAAGAGGGGTAGTCCAAGTTTGTAAAACAGCTTGAGCAAAGGAGGTAGTCATGAAAAGTGACTTTACAACTCCATTCAAGTATTTGAGGGCTAGAGTATGAAGAAGGCAGTTAGAAAGGGGATGTATGGTTGCCAAGTGGAGGAGAGTGCCTAAGCTGTGAGGGGCCTTTGCAGATACTGGCACAGCAAAAGTCTGATGGGTATTGGAGCATTTAGAACTAATGTGGAAAAGACAAACAGGTGTGCTAGCTGAGCCTTTGCAAGATAAGAGACGAAGGATGATAATGTGAACTAGAGACTAGAGGGGGGAGGGAAGATGGGAGAGTTTAGGTACTACTTAGAGATTTCCCATGGCAAACCAGTTCTCCCCACAGGTAACCCAAATCCATCTAACTTCCAAATTTGTATATTTCTACTATATTTTACATTCCAAAAAGAGAACCATTTATAGTAGCCATTTGGACAAAATGGTATTCTTAGGATATTGCTTCTCAGATAGCTGTCATGAATTGTATAGCTTAGAGGTTCATGAAGACGCAGAGTAAGCTTGGTGCATTCTCAACAAGAATGTCAGATTTAATCAGTAGTAAATAATTTTAAAGTAGTGCTTTTTATAATATGCATGGCTATATGAAAACATGCAAAAGAGGTTAGCCCCTAAAATAGGTCTCCAAAGAAGTTTTGTGCGCGGGCCAAATTGTCAGCTCTATGTGGGCATAGGTTCACTCTCTCACATGCCATTCATTCACTAATTAAATAAAATAGTTTGGAAAGCCAGACAGATTCTACAGAGACGAACATGTAGCTTTGTGGTAAGCTACAAAGGAGGAAGGTGGAAGGCATACACACAGATAATGTCAGAGTTTGTACTAAGTGTTTTTGGAGGAGAGGCATCAGACCCATCATTGCAGTCAGGAGACCAACCATAAAAACTTCCCAGACAAGGGGGTAACCTTTTTTTTTTTTTTTTAAATTTTTATTTATGTTTTCAGACAGAGGAGAAAGAGGGAGAGAAACATCAATGTGTGGTTGCCTCTTGCCCCTTACTGGGGACGTGGCTCACAACCCAGGCCTGTGCCCTGACTGGGACTTGAACTGGCAACCCTTTGGTTTCTCGGTCCATCGTTCAATCCACTGAGCCACACCAGCCAGGGCCCGGAGGTATCCCTTGAATAAGTCAAACCAAATAGGAAAGAAGGATTTATTCTCAGGCACGAGGAACCTGAGGCATGTTTGCAGCCATACTAGTTCAGTGCAGCTGTAATGTAGAGTAAGGAAAGCTAAAAGGCAAAAATAGAACTGGATTATGGAGGACCTTAAAAGAAAAGGTATAATTTTAATAAATATCCTGAAAATGCTTTGCACAGAAATGTATGAAGTGGTTTTTAGTAACTTTCTCATTGGAAAATGGTAGGGTAGAACCTGCTGTGCTTTTCTATATTAATATGAGTGAAAATAGCTGTTCTGTTCAGTTGTATTACGTTGGAGGTTGCATATGCAGATGCCTGTATGTCAGACAGATGATGAAAATGAGTGAGGCAGGCCTGGTATGGCACATGGTATTATTGGCATCTAGAGAAAAAACCCTCTCAGCTAAGAGCATTTACATTGAATTGCTTGTTTGAATAGTTGGCCAAACAAAATACCTATCCAATTCTGTCCAAAGGCAGCGAGTATGCAGTTTCTCCTTTAAATTTCCTGAAGATTTATTATCATCTTTCTTCCATTATTTACATTTTTTCCTTGTTATATACACAGGAAATCTTTAAATATCATAACACTGGAAGTCTAAGCAAAGAAAAGGGAAGAGGACCAAGTCAGCCAGAAAACTGGGAGGATAGAAACAGTCTTATTTCTCATCTTTTCCATGTGTTTCTATTTTTCAGGTTTTCTTTTAGCAAATACGGAGTTAAAGGCAATGTGCTCTATATACTGATTGGTATATCATGACTAATACTTTCAAATGCTATTTGTGCTATATTAAAATAAATATCATTAAAAATTATTCTAGGATTCTTAAAGGGGTTTTGTTAAACTTTTGTCTATGAAGAATAAAGTTTTTGAAAGATAGTGTTATTAGTCAAAACTTAACTCGTTCACTTGAAGCTGTCTGCAGAACTTCACTATATGGCAGTAGGGGCACTCTTGCTAACTTGGCCAAGCTGAAATAAAGACCTTTAATGTGCTAGAAAAATACAGGATTCCATTTCTTATCTTTCATCTTTGTAAACATGGTTTATTTGAGGGACTAACAAATTAGAGTGTGAGGGTTTCTACTTTGCTGTTGTATAAGGACCGATTTTTCTTAGCAGTATGTGTCTTTCAGACAATTGGTGCAACCTTTGCAGCTATGATTGGAGCTGGAATGCTGGTACAATCAATACCATATGACCAGAGCCCAGGCCCAAAGCATCTTGCTTGGTTACTACATTCTGGTATGTTCTAATTTTCAACTGCTACTAAGTGAATCTTGACTACTACCTTTTTGGTTGCTCTTCACAACCATAAATGCTTTGTACATAATTTAATTAACCCCCATGTTTAGAAAATGCTTATAATTTTCTGCGATTACTACTGGTTACATAATGAGACCATGGGCATCCCCAGTATTATACTTGCCTCCTTGGACAGTCTATATATGCAGCAATTTCCTTTTATGTATTTTGTCTAATACCAAGAGGATTTCAGCTCTGATACACTATTGCTTGAGAATTGTTTTAGTTTATGTTTAGAAAAATAAATGGTGACGAGAAGGAGGTAAGACATATGAAAGAATAGGAGAGGAGGTTTTTGCAATGGAGCATTTGGAGAAAGAAAGCAGTCCCAAAAGATTGTTGGAAATGCGTATTTTCATCTGATGAGTTTAGCTGAGTCAATATTAAGATAATTCTTTGTATGAGGTTACATTGGCAGGGCAGTGACCGTTCAACCCTGCTATTACAGGACCATTCTGACATCCTTTTATATGTTGTGAATTTTTCCTTAAGTGTTATATGACAGATTATTTGAAAGTTTAGATAAGTTTTTCACCCCAAGTATTCTGGGATATTCTGTCTCTGGGTTGAATAAAAAACCAGCCAGACCCAGAAAGAAAAACGCTTCTTATAGATGTGTGTTCTTTACCACAAAACAAGACATTTCATAAGCATTTCCCTTAAACTGTCATGGAGACAGACTCTGAAATGTTTTAACATGTTAGTAAATGGAAATTAGGTTTTTGGCACTCAATAACAAATTTCTGATGTGAAATATGTCATTTATATTATTGATGTGCTATCCTTATTTTAGTAAATATGAGACAGCTTCCCAACCTTGATTTTCAGGTCTTTTTCATTTGGTATGAGATTATTCAACCACAGATATTCTCCCTGAAACTTTACAGGACAAAACACTTCTGGTTTGGAGGAAAATGGTCCCTTATCTAATACCAATGAACTGCTTTTAAGAAAAAAATTATTCAAAATAAATATAGCATATGCATTTGCTAAGAAAGCAAGTATCCTTTCATTGAAACACCAACATCCTCACCATCTGAGTTTACATTTCACATTTATGTTTCTAAATCTGTGGATTATGGTATCTTGGCCCATGAGCAGAATTCTGCACCTGTTTCCCCTTTTAGACACTTAAGTTCCTTGAGAAAACAGGTTGTGTCTTTTTATCTCTGATTAATAGTATAGTTACTTGTTGGATTGAGTTAAAATGCCTTTGTAGTTTTAATTCTACCTTAAAGAAGTATTTTTACCTGGTTTGCTTAGAAAACTCCTTTTAATGTGTCATTGTAGCACATAAATTACTTGAGTCGGGGTATTATGTGTGTTGCAGGGGTGGGGTACCCAAGGCCACCAATTTATTCAGTGATTGATTTGTATTCAGAGCTAGGGTTTATTACAATGAAAGGATGCACAACTGGATCAGCAAGGAAAAAATAAGAGGCAGAGCCATGGCCAGTGTGGCTCAGTTAGTTGGAGCTTTCGTCCCATACACCAAAAGGTTATGGGTTCAATTCTCAGTCAGGGCACATACTAGGGTTGTGGGTTCAGTCCCTGGTTGGGGTGCATGCCGAAGGCAACCAACTGATACTTCTCTTTCTTTTCTCTCTCTCTCCCTCCCGTTCTTCCTCTCTCTAAAAGCAATGAAAAAGTGTCCTCAGGAAAGTACAAGCAGATTCTGGAGTGTAGATAAATATACAGTCCTTCAGTGCTCTCATTCCTCAGGGGACACAATGACAATGCGAAAAGTGTAGTACATGAGATTTCTTGGCTCAGGGAAGCCCAGTGGAGACTGAGTGTCCATAGTCTTTAATGAGAGCTGATTATGTAGGCACTGTTATAGCAGCTCTCAAAAACCAGACTCCCAGAAGGAAGGCAGGTCTTCAGAATAGCTCACAGTCTTTGCACAAATAGTCTAACCCTATCAGTTAGGTAATGGCTTAAGTGCCAACTTCTCAGAAGAGTCCAGGACTAATCTGGCAATCAGGCCTTTATAAAGATAGCCTTGGGCCTGCTTTGTTAACCCATTCCTGCACAGTATGAAGGCCAGGTTTTTTCTTTTTTTATTGTTGTTCAAAATTTGCTTTATTCTTCATAAACATCTTAGGAAGCCATTCAGACATTAGCATGTTCATATTTCCTAATTGAGGAAACTGAGGCTGGGTGAGGTCACCCACTAGGGAGCACCAAAGTCAAGACTGACACCCCAACCTTATTTCTTCAAGTCCTGCACTCTTTCATTCACTGGCATGATTGAGATGGGACCCAAATAATTCAAAGACAAGTACTCACAGCATCAAAGGGATATCAAAGCTGGCTTTTGACCCAATATTAACACCCAAATACATTCCATTTTCTTTCTTTTTCCAGATGTCTAGCATGGCTGTGGTCACAATCAGGATCAAGTGATAACGTTGCAGGAATTACTGAAATGGACTTGAAAAACTATTCTAATTGTGTTATACCCCCAGCTTTATTGATATATAATTGACTCATAATATTGTATAAGTTTAAAGTATACAACATGTTGAGTTGATACATTTATATATTGCAAAATTATTACCGCTGTAGCACTTCCATTTCATACTTACCATTTCTTTTTTTATGGTGAGAATATTTAAGATCTACTTTCATAATAACATACAAATATATGACACTCTCATTAGCTAAAATCACTGTCAAAAATTCAGAAATAACAGAAGTAAAACCCAATGAATTACTGAAGTAGTAATTATTAAAAGTTTTATTGTACACACACCAAAATGGTAGTCTTAAAACCAGGAACACTTAACCAAAAATATGGAATGAGGCCCACGTATATTATTATAAAGGAACTTACATAATAAGAAAGCAGTGGCTATTTGTTCTTTACACAGTGATTGGTTATAATAGAATTTTCTGTGGTTACCTCATGTCAGTCTTGGTAAACAGTTCAAATACTGCTTACAGTTTCCAGAGGCATAAGCAAGAAATGATCCAGGTCAAGTTAGTCTTGCAAAATAAGCTAAATTGAGCTTTACTTGTATAACTAAACTGGTTTTGTCTGCCAGGGAAAGTTCAAGGCTGGTCTATATTTGTTTTTTATTTTAATGTCATTGTGCTCCACATTAGAATCTCAAACTTGCTCTTTATACTCTCTGACCATTATCTCCCCGTTTTCCCCATCTCCCTCCCAACTCCTGGTAACAACCACTATACTCTCTATTTCTCTGAGTTTGACTTTTTAGATTCCACATGTGAGATCATACATTTGTTATGTTTTTGTTGTTTTTGGGGGTGGTATTTTTTTTTTTTGAGATCATACATTTGTCTTTGTCTGACTTGTTTCACTTAGGATAATGCCTTCAAGGTCCATCGATGTCAAAAATGTCACGGCTTCATTTTTGTGGCTGAATAATATTCCATTATATATATAAACCACATCTTGATCCATTGATCCATTGATGGACACTTAGGGTTTTTTCAGATGTCAGCTCAAGTACAGCTGTTTCCATGATATCTTGATTCTAATTTTTTTATACAAACTCAGATGTGGATTGCTAGCTATAATTTTTCAAAGAATCTCCATACGTGTTTTTTATATAGTGGCTGTGCCAATTTGCTAAATGCCAGTTTTCATTCACAATAATAATGAGCTATCCTTGTTAGTTTTATAATTGATTTGTCCTTAAGCAGCAAACATATATTATCGCCACTTAAGATTTTTATCAGAAAGTATTACTGACAAGCAGGGTTGGGATCGATGAGGGTAGGAGGTAGGAATGGCTGGGGTGGGGGAAGTGGTGGGGGAAAATGGAGACAACTGTACTTGAACAACAGTAAAAAAAATTAAAAGAAAAAAGAAGGTATCACTGAAAACTCTCTCAATAGTCTCTTTAAGTGTTTTGATAAAAATTTTGCTGCCAAATGCAAAACTAATAGAAATCCTAACAGTAATATCCTACAGAGGAATTTTTACCCAGGATTTTTCCTAGAGCAAAAAATATTTTTTAATTCATCATCATGAAACATAATCAGTTACCTTACCATTTGATCTAGAAACATTATTCTTGGAAAAGAAACACACTAGTATTGAAATTTCAATATGAAGGTAGCTCTTTGCCTATTCCTTGAGTTAAACTGTACACATACAATGTTTAAGAAAAGTGTAACTTCTTGTACTCACCAGTGAAATAATGCCTTACGTAAGATTTATTTTTTAGTTGAGCTCTATTTATTTTTGTTAATCATATTATGGAAAACTTACTGTAATTTTTATAGGATGTTTATAAATATCTTAACAACTGAAATTATTTTTTCCAAGTTGTAATCACATTCCCTATTAATGCAAGGTAACAGCAGTGCCTGTTTTTGGAGTTTCTCTGTTTCAAGATTATCATAATATTGCTCTCGTTTTCTGATTTCATTTTGTTTCCTTTTCGCAGCAGGAGATTTGACCTTGAGCTATGCATTTTAAGCTATTTTAATCTCAGTTCTTACATGTATGACTGTTGTTATAAAGACTAATGTTAGGTTCAGATCCAAATAATGAATTACATAGAATTTGACAGAGTTACTAAAAATTAGATTTGTGTTTGTACTTGTGATTGTGACTGATTGGAATAGTGTTACTCTTGTGTTTTTAGAATCTGGATAGTCCCAAGTTTTGGTTGTAGAATTTGGGGGGTAGTATCACCTAAATAAGGGGAAGGCTTTTTGTGATTATGCTGTTTACCAGTAAGTTATAATATATTCAAATGGGGTGTTAGTTACAAGTGTTAGTTTTTCCTTAGGTCATTGTTTAGTAAAAAGTGACCACTTGCTCTTTCTCCAGGTGTGATGGGTGCTGTGGTAGCTCCTCTGACGATATTAGGGGGGCCTCTTCTCATCAGAGCTGCATGGTACACAGCAGGCATCGTAGGAGGCCTCTCCACTGTGGCAATGTGTGCACCGAGTGAGAAGTTTCTGAACATGGGCGCACCCCTGGGAGTGGGCCTGGGTCTTGTCTTTGTGTCCTCTCTGGGTAAGCCACTGTGCTTTGACACCTGGTTCTTTGCTTATGATGTCCCAAAATCATCTTATGTACTCAAGTATCCTACTGGAGGGAATATATTTAGTCATTTTTAAAAGTTGTTTAAAAGATACATGCTAATTAAACTGGATTTTCTTATTTGGCATGACAAACCATTACTATTGTTTTTACCAAATACATCTAAAATGGCAAGGTGGCCTGGAGAACACGAAGATTGCTCTGATGCAAGAGAATTCCTTGTAATGTGGGCAAGTGACCCCTTGCAGGAATGAGTGTCATAGGTTTTGAACCGAATGTACACAAAACTAGACCGTACTTATACCAAGATGTGTTGTTGTCTGGCAGTATACCAAATAAGTATTTTTAAGTAAGGTTAATTATAAAGTTATAGAAAAGTGCTTTTTTAAAAAAGAACTTTTTTTTCCCATTTTGATTTCAGGATCTATGTTTCTTCCACCTACCACTGTGGCTGGTGCCACTCTGTACTCAGTGGCAATTTATGGTGGATTAGCTCTTTTCAGCATGTTCCTTCTTTATGATACGCAGAAAGTAATCAAGCGTGCAGAAATAGTACCAGTGTATGGAGTTCAAAAATATGATCCCATCAATTCGTAAGTACTCTTTTTAACGTCTTTGTTACATGAAGACATTTGTGTCATTTTGTCCTATTTTGTTTTATGACTGCATTCATTTCTTAGGGCTGCTGTTACCAATTATACAAACTGGGTAGTTTAAAATAACAGAAAATAATTCACAATTTTGAAGCCAAAATCTAAAATCAAGGTGTCATCAAGGTTGGTACCTTCAAAGGACTCTTAAGGGTGAATCGCTTCCATGCATGTCTCATCATCTTGTTATAGCCAGCATTCCTCAACTTATAGATACAGCAGTTCAGTCTCTACCCCTTTTTTTAAATTAATTTTTTAAATTCTTTTTTATTTTTAAACTTCTTATTGTTTATACTATTACAGTTGTCCCATTTTTTTCCCCTTTGCCCCCATCCTCCTATCTGCCTGTCTTCACATGGTGTTTTCCTTGTGCCTGTCTGTCTCTTCCTATGAAGACAGGTGTCATATTAGACTAAAAGGCCACTGCAGTATTCATCTTAACTCACATCTTAATTACATCTACAAAGATCCTATTCCCAAATATGGTCACATTCACAGGGGACCAAGGATTAGGACTTAAAATTATCTTTGAATTCAACAATTACTATTTTATTTCTTTTGTTGTTTGGCCTATTTTCCCTCTCTCGTAAGCTGTGTATCCACAGAAAGTTGATTGTATTGTAACTAAGTGTAATATTTAGTCAGTTATTTCAGAGTACTTTTTTAAAGAAATTTATTTATTTATTTTTAGATGAGGGTAGGGTGGGGGATAGGGAGAGAGGGAAAGATCAATGCGTAGTTGCCTCTCATGTGCTCCCTACTGGGGACCTGGCCCACAACACAGGCATGTGCCTTAATTGGGAATCAAACTGGTGACCCTTTGGTTTGTAGGTCAGCACTCAGTCCACTGAGCCATACCAGCCAGGGCTAATTCAGAGTATTTTCAATTAGCCTTATGGTGCTCTTACAGGTCAACTAATTTTTATATTTAATAGACTTTAGAACTGAAGAAAAGATTTCTTAGTCAGGTATTCATTGAAAAGTGTACATAAATGACTTGAAATGTTTAATAGAAAAGCCTGTTTTATTAAAAATTGGAAACACCTTAGTATGAAAATCTTATTTTAGGGATAATCAGAGTTAACTTACATTAAATGTTCTAATGCCTTTTTCTTTTCTTTGCCTCCCAACCAAAGTAGTGTAGTTTATTTAAACAATTTCCTTGAGTTTCATTGTATTACCACATTTTTAAAGTAATTTTTTAAATTAAAAATGTAATTGTTTTTAAAATGCTGCTTTAATGCTTCAGGTTTGTAACCGTTTGGGTGAAGTGAGGGTGAGGTGTTAAGGGATTGTATTATATTTTAAAATGTCAGACTCGTGTCTGACATGTTTTTGTAAAGGTGTTTCTTTGGTTTTGTTTTGGTTCTTTATTGTCTAGCACCCACTTTTTTCCCACAGGATGCTATACTAATAGTAGAGTTTTAGAGAATAGAATAATGATTTTTAAACTGTCCTTTACCATTTAAACTGCCAGACGAAAATCTTGACTATTGTCTTATCTAGAACTTCCTTAGTTGGCATCTTGTTTTAAAATTTCCATCTTACATACCTGGGACAAATAATCAGTATTGCTTTTCCTTCTTTTCTAGGTTAAGAAATAGTTTTTATCATTGTTATTAGAATTGCATCATATTTAAACAGGCATTTTTCCCCCTAGGATGCTGAGAATCTACATGGACACGTTGAATATATTTATGCGAGTTGCCACTATTCTAGCGACTGGGAGCAACAGAAAGAAGTGAAATGACTCAGCTTCTGACTTCTTTAGTGTATCAGACATCTTGCTTGTTTAATAGGGGCAGGTATTCATTAATAGTTCAAGCAGCTTTCGTTGAAGTTTAGAAGATAAGAACTTGTCATCCTGTTTGAAATGTCCCAGTAATGTGATACTTCAGGTCTGCTTTTCTTCTGGAGAATAAATTCAGTAGTTCTCTGCCAAATGAGCACACACACTCAATTCTCATGTTTGAGTTATTCTGAAATGCTTTAATGAGTAAAAACTGAGGCTTGTGTTGGGAGAATTTATTTTATCTTTTGATTTTTTTTTTAGTGAAAATTAGCAAACTTGTGTTTACCTACATAAATTTTGGAATGCAGAATATTAACAAGTAATGTTATAAGTGGTGTAGAGGTTTGGTACAAGGACCAGAGAGAAGTTAAAGGGTCACCTGCAGTCTTTCTTTAAATGCTTAGACTTTAGGACTTGTGTAACTGGTGGTGAGCCAGTGAGAGGCAATCACTTTTTACATTTGTCTGCTGAATTTATCAGAAGCATTGACCATAAAACAAAGACATGAGTGATACATTTTCCTAGTGTTCCTTTTTAGTTCTCTTTTTAAAATGTAGATGTGGTCATGTTTGGCTCCTCATTGTTTGACATTATTAGGACACTTTAGAATTTTCATATGAAGAATTCCTGATATATAATACATGTGTGTGTGTGTTTTACTTTTGTGTGTTCTAGAACAAAATATCCTTAGAATACCTCCTCAGGATAAAATATTCAAAGTATACAAATAATATATTCATAATTGCTGAAATTTTTGCATATTTATTGAAATGTGTAATAGAATACATGCTTGCTTTTCTCATCTCTTCAGGCTTTGAAGCTTCTATTAGGAAAGCCTGTTTGTGGCTTACACTTAAGATATGAAGGCAGTTTTTCTCCTAAGACTTGGTTTCTTGCATTCCCTCTTAGACCAACCACTAAAAAAAGGAAAACACAGATACTCTTTCTTTATGGACTATATTAGTCAAAAATGTAATGGGCAGAATACTTCATTAGCATGTCCCCTAGCAGAATTTACCTTCTCTCCTACATAGACTGTTACTTAATTCCCTTGTAACATTTGTAAGTTTTTTGATAAGAGCTATTTTGAAAGTTCTTAATGAAGTATATATGATTATTGAGATGATTGGTGTTTTGACAAGCATTTATTATAGTAATACAGAAATAACTATTCTAATGACCATGAGTCACATAGGATGCTTATGTTTGAAATAATAAAGATTCCAGCCAGATGGTGATTGGTCTGTAATTTTTCCAGCTGAACCATATACATACTATTTGAATAGTGGGTTTGTTCAAGAAAGCAACTTACTCTCTTACCAATATAGTGTATATAGTACAGTGTGATTATTATCACAGTACTTAGAGCCATATTGCTTTTTTTTATATCACAGCTCTCCTACTTATTTCTTATGTGACCTAGGCATTACTTAGCTTCTCTATGCCCATTTCCTCATCTATAAAATGAGGATGGTAGTAGAATCTACCTGAAGGTGAAATATGATGGCACTTGTAAGTTTAGCTGCTGTTGCTAGTTTGTTTTGGGGGCGGGGGTTCCCTAAGAAAAATCTAGGTGCCAAGCTTCTATTTTTTCCCTACTTTAGTTCCTATAAAGTGTCAGTGTGATCTTAAAGTAAAATCGTTTTTGTTTGCTTAAAAGATTTTTTTATGTATGTATGTATGTATGTATTGATTTTAGAGAGAAGGGAAGGAAGGGAGAAAGACAGGGAGAGAAACATCTATGTGCAAGAGATATATAGATCAGTTGCCTCTCACACACTACCAGCTGGGAACCTGGCCCACAACCCAGAGCACATGCCCTGACCTGAAATCAAACTAGTGACCTATTGGATCATAGGCCGGCATTCAGTCCACTGAGCCATACCAGCCAGGGCTTAATGTGAAATCTTAAAGATCCTTCTGTCTTTAGTCACATTCTGGATCCCAAAGTTTCTACCTTTATGTTTGGATTGTATCACACAGAAAACAATGGTATAATTTCAACAATGGGTATCAGTAGAAACTTATCTAGAAAATCAAGGATTTTTTAAAAATTTAATGGCTTAGTATTTTAACTTCTGATTTTGCTAAGACAATGAAGACTTTTAAATATAAAACGTGAGGTATATGAGGGGTGGGGCCCTTGTATTACTGGCTTCACCCACTGAGTATTTTAGGAACCCACCTACCTGTATCAGTGTACCAGCTGGCATTGTAGTGAGAGGCTGTGTTCAGCTTCAGTGAATTTTTTTTGGAGACTTTTTCAACATGTTTTCACATTTCATGATGGATGATGTACAAGCACCCCACCCTCCCTATTCACCCAGTCTCACCTGAGTGACTATTTTTTTTTTCTGGATGAAAAAAGTCCTCAAAGGGAAATGTTTTGCCAATGTGGAAGAGGTAAAACAAAAAACAGCAGAAGCACCAAAAGGCATCAAAATAGACAAGTTCAAAAACTTCTGAACTGGGGGGAAAAAATGCCTGGATAGGTGTATTGCATCAAATGGAGAGTACTTTGAAGGTGACTGAAGTTTAAACATATAAGAATAAATACAATTTTTTGTAAGTCCAGGTTTTTCATTAGGTCCTTGGCTCCTTTGACATCCCACTGGGATTTATTTTTCTCATATCGCCCACAGGGAAGAGTGTATACTAGCAAATTGATGGTTTTTAGCCAAAAAAAAAAAACATGTTTCTCATTTTTGTACTCATCATCTGAAGCATTTAGAGGATAACTAAGATGTGGTTAAAAATAATAACACACAAAACTAAAGGTGTTTTTGGTTTATTCACAGTATTATCTAGTGAACATTCAATCAGAAAACATTGAATATATCAGGTAGGTACAGTGCCAGCTGGACCCAGGGGAGACAATGATGAATAAAAATTGCCTTTTAAAGAATAGCATCCCTATATAAACACAGCCACAGTTCATTGTGTTGAGTTCAGTAAGAGAAGTGAACAAAGTAACGTGTCCAAAATGTCCCAGGAGGAAGTCTTCAAGTAAATGTAGTAGTTATAGCACATTAAAAAAAAAACGCCATTCCACACACAGGAAGAGTAGGGATACATGGAGAAAATGGTAAGAAGCAAGAAATTCCCTTGGAGCCAGCGGGTTTATGGTCTGTGGTTAGAGCACTTTAAAAAGTTGGCTGTCTTCTATGCTCTAAAATGGTAGACACACATTTCCCTTAAAATTGTTCATCTGGATAAAATGTGCCCACATTAAAAGTTTCTGAAACTAAATGACACCCAACATTTGTAGCATTTTGATAGGGTGGGATAAGTATCCAGATAAGCTGGTTAGTAGCTAACAATTGAATTTTTTTATGTTGTGTGCTGATTCCTTCGCACAAATGATAACATTCCTCTGAGCTAGGTACTGCTATCCCCATTTTGCAAAGGAGTAAACTAAAGCCCACAAATTCAACCTGCACAAGATTGAGTCCTGTGGCTGGGAAGAATAAAGTGGTAGAATTGAGAGATCCTCCTAACTCATCATGCTGGGAGGTTCATGATAAATCTCATAGGGCTGAAATTCTATCTGAGAATCAAAAGCACTGTACAAATTAAATAGGCAAGTTGAAGAGGAGTCAGCAAACCCACCCCATATACATACACCTCAGACCAGGCCCTCTGCCTGGTCTGTATTGTGAATGGGGGAACATGGAAAAAAAAAGAAGAAAAAATAAATAGGTTGAGATTCTGGTGAACATATCTACAACATTAGAATTTTAGTGTTTATCCAAAGGAATTGACCTCAGTCCAATGGTAATTGACCTCAGATAAACAATAATCATGTTTTATTCCCCCAATCCTATTTTTTTATATAGAGTACCAGAAACTCCTACTTGGAGCTACAAATCAAGCCATTGTTTAAAGGTCAGTGTAATTAGTAAGATGGACTCTAAATGTGCTCAGTTTATATAGGTAGCACTCAAAATGGAAGCCATTTTTTCAGGGCAGAGATTTGAAAGCTGTGACCTTGAGGACTTTGTCTCTGGTGTAGCAGTTCAGGAAGATGGAGGAAATTCCCTTAGTAATAACATGATAACACTTGAAAACAACAAAAGGAGCATTTTGTACCAGAAGCAAAAGTACCAGAAATCTAAAGTTTGAGAAGGGAAAATGTGAACCATTCTGGCCAGTATATCATAGGGCTGCTGGCCAGTTAGCATGAGGGCAGATCCAGTACAATCTCTTCTCAGCCTCAGCACTCCATTCTGCCTGGCTCATTTGTATTGGGTCTTTACCTAGTGGGATATCAATTGTCCTTAGGGGCCTCTCTCTTCACCTTCAGGAGTCCCTGTGGTTATACCTAGAATTGATATTTTCTGGCAGGGCCAAATTGACATTCTCACAACTGGGCACAGAAATCTAAAAACAAACATTTAAAACAATCCACTGAGCACTTTGTAAAAGCTACCTGGGGCCTTGTATGGTGTCAGCTGGCTGTCATTACCCCAAATTAGCCTTTCGTGTGCCTGTTGCATGTGCACTGCTCACCTATGTGCCCCAGTGTGGTTTTACATAGTAGCTCAGCTTGGTGAAATTAGGTTTATATGGTGATCTAATTGCAAGGGTGTTATACATGTCTTAGTTCCATTTACTCATTAGTCATGTTGCCTCAATGCCAAGATCCCCCATCAGACTTTATTTCTGAAATGTTTGTTCAATTTCATGATTTTTTTTTCAAAACTAAATAGCATATCTTAGCATCAGTGGCATTTCAGAACTGAAAAAATACGGTGTTTTCCAGGAATTTGTTTCCATAATTTCCCAATAGTTCATTGTCCTATAAAAACAGGTATCTGAAGTATAATCTTTTGGTAATTGCCAGTAGCAGTTTTTACTGATGATTCAGAGGGAATCTTCAAAAGAAAGTACAAGTCTAGCCCCACCCAGTTATGTACTTCATGAGGATTGGTCAGACAGGAAGACCAGTGGAAGCTGAGAGCATGAGTGGTTTAGTGTGATCTGACTGTAAGTAGAAGATTCACTTAAAAAGAAGTTGGAGAAATTATGACAAGATCTTCACTGTTGTTAATTCTGAGTGGCAGAAAAAAATAGGCATTTGGTAGGAAAATGACATGTTTGGTATCTTTTTCAGTATATTATAGCTTCCCCTAAGTAACTTTTTACAAAGGAAAGTACATACAT